AAATATTTTTGCTCCGGTGAACATTAATGATCAGTTGATCCATTATTGATCAGTATTAATCCATGAAAAATTGTTGAACTTGAGCATCATCGTTTCTTTAAACAATATTCGTCACTGAATATTATTAATCACCTAGACATTGTTAATTTCTAAACCATTATTGATTCCTGGAGCAAAATTAACCAATGTAACCAAATTAATCTCAACAGTGAAATGAAAACTTAAATATCACTGATCACTTGACTTTACTGATCAAAGCATTATTGATTACTCCCCCTTGATTGATCCCATGAAGCACTACACTACACCCGCATCCACTCACCTCATACCATCGTGACCCTCCACAACGCCACAACACGCCTGATTAGGACTGACCTCTGACTTATGCCGTACCCTGACTCCGTTCCATCTCGTGCTTTATACCCAGGGATTGCAAACTTAACATGTTAGGCATAATTCGTGTTGTCCCACATGCCAAGCAATAGCAAATGTTTGCTATAAATGCGACAGTTCATCACAAGTTTAATATATTTCTTTGGTGCTAAATATTTCTTAATGAAGATATACTGGTCAAAAATTCCTTATGACAGAGCTTCAGCACGTTGCACTCTAGCAAGGTTATCTTGTCTTGCTGAGGTTTCAGTTCATAGAGGATAAAAACAATTTTAAGAAAATACTGTTTGTCTGAGCTCGCTGAATGACCAACAGATGCAAAACAAATATCAACATTAAGAGTTGTATCTTTCTGTGTGTATACGTCGAGTTTTTTTTTTTATTATTCTTATCTGAAAGATTAAATTATTGTTGACAGTGACTAAGATTGTTGAGTTAATGACTCTCGCGCAGTCAATTAACCTCAAACCAAATACATATGACAATTATTATTGATTTAGTCGTGGAGAAGATCTAAACCCGTAGGGATTATTCATCCCCTTGGAGCTGGCAGGCGATGAGGTTCGATCGAAGTTGAAGATAGCTCTAGTTCCTCGGCTCACGAGCAATTCGCTTACATTAAAAGCATCCTTCATGAGGGAACAGCGAAGACAACTTCACGAAGTCTAAACACACATTATACTCCTCCAACAACTCGAGGAATACGTTGCATTTGCTTTCAGTTAACTGTCTAAGATATTTCATTAGTAAATAAGTAATTAATCACTGTCTTTCTCTTGATAAAAATATGACACTCAAATGATACGTTGAATACTTAACATTACTGTATCACATGTTGACAACAACATATCACATGATAATATTAACGAGTTACCTGTTATAATTAACGTACTACATGCAAGGCTTTGTAACTCATTGTCGATTCTTTTCTATATTTACGCAGTGTTTAACTGTAATGTAGGGAATATGTGCATACCTGTTGATAACTATGACTTAATGTTTAAATTAGGCCGGTGATAACTAAAACGTTATGTTACGTGTGCCTGTTGATAACTATAACGCATTTGCCTAAAGAATAAAATGGCACAATACCGTGACTGGAACAATGCACAGATAAAGGAGACTGAAACTCGGACCATAAACTAGTTAATGATCGATGTTGGTCCATAACGTCGTCTTAGGTTTCAGTCTCGTATATGTGGGTTATGTGTGTATTTACATTTATCTGTGTTGATAACTATGGCCTTATGTTTACGTGTGCCTCATGATAACTATAATGTAATGTTTACATTTACTAGTTGATAACTATGATGTAATGAATAAATGTGGAAGGTGATAACTGCTCATTCGGAAACTTTTATATCTTCGTAATACACCAAATACAACGATGCTTTGTAGGATTTAATGTAATGATTGCAATTTATATTCAAAATTCTGTAAAACATGACTAGATATTTTTCGCTTTTCTATATCAGTTTGAGATCGTTTATAACGGCATCTCATGAAATTGGCATCAGAGATATAACTGAACTTAGGGAGCTACAGGGATTCCCATTTGCACTGTTTTATTTTCAATGATATATCAGGTTGACGTTAACTCTCCTTAGACTGAACCAAGAAGGAATTAGAGTTAATAAAAGACTTGGCGCCAAACACGCGACCTCATGCGACCTAGGTTTGTTTAAGATAAGAACGGATGTTAATCGATCATTGGCACTTTTTTTGTGTTACTTAAGCTAGCTAGCAAATGTCTTCTAAAGGACCACAGCTTACACTAACTATAGTAACACTTAAACAATAATCCAGGAAGGGAAGCAAACAGCTGTAAGAGGCACTCAGAACGGAGATCATACGTGAAGACGTGATCTGGGTGAGGGAGGATACAGCTGTGAAACTGACTTGAGACTAGTAGACCACATCTTAGATAATGACTTAGGAGAAGACTAAGTGCAGAAAAGTAACTAAGGGACAACCACACACGGAAAAATTACCACAGAGATGGACAGCCACATCTGGGAAAATTATTAAGGATGGGGATCACTACACATGGGAATGTTACTTAGAAGGCAGACAGTCATATACGAGAAAGTTACAAAGAAGGCGGATAGTTGTATATGGGGAAAGTTACTAAGAAGGCGGACAGTCATATGTGGGAAAGTTACTAATGAGGGGTTACGATCACACATGGGAAAGCGACTTAGGAGGGGAACAACTATGTGTAGGAAACTGACTTTGGAAGTTGACGGCTATAGCCCCAAAATAACCTGAACAGCAATTAAATGTCCGAGAAACGGAGGCAGGAGAGATAGACCAAAACACAGCAAGTGACACGAAACTACAACGCAAGGGAAAGCAAAAAAAAAGGCAGGAAGCTATGTTAACATGAAGTGTGATCTGACGAGGTGAAAGCATAAGGCTGTTTTATTCCCTGTTGACCTGTTAGTTGACCTGACGAGGTGAAAGTATGAAGCTGTGTGACTCGTGTTGACCCGAAACTTGATCAGGTGAGGCTGAAGAATGAGGCAGGAACCTGTGTTGACCTGAGAAATAACCTGACAAGGAAGCATGAGGTAGTATGAATCCTGTTGACCAAAGACACATCTTGACGAAACGGCAACAGACGGCTGTGTTGTCCAGTGTTGACCAGGGACGTGACCTGGCGAGACTGAAGCATGAGGCAGGAACCTGTGTTGACCCGAGACGTGACCTGACGAGGCGGCTGGTAATATTGCAGATCCTCTCCCGTGACCACGTGACAGTAGCAGTGGATGCTGTGGTATACTACAGAGTGCACGATCCCGTCATGGCCGAGAACAATGTGGAAGATTACAGGTAGCCAGGCGTGGGCCCTCCAGTCCAACTCCAGTTTTATACTAGCCATCCCCCCCTCCATCCCCGAGCTCCATCCCCCTTCTATCCCCCCACAACCGTTACCCCCCACCCTAGCCTAATGGTCCCTCTTCAGTGTCACCTTGCACACTACAGAAGACATTAAGGCACTCCGGGGACCTTTCGGCTAAACTGTTGTGGGGTGGTCCTTATATATATATATATATATATATATATATATATATATATATATATATATTATATATATATATATATATATATATATATATATTATATATATATATATATATTATATATATATATATATATATATAATATATATATATAATATATATATATATATATATATATATATATATATATATATATATATATATATATATATATATATATATATATATATATATATATATTATATATATATATATATATATATATATATATATTATATATATATATATATATATATAATTATATATATATATATATATATATATATAATATATATATATATATATATATATATATATATATATATATATATATATATATATATATAATATATATTCATACTATTGCATAAATTTAATATATAATAATATATATATATAATGTATACCATTTATATTTATCATATTATACCTGCGGCAGTCCCTAGCTTGCGGCTAGCCCAACGGTCCCTCTACCGAACGGGAAGACAACATAAACACAGACCTGCGGTATACACGGACGGTTGGGCTATACTGCTGGTGACCCGTTCATTTGTTTGTTACTTTTATTGAGTGAATGGTGACAGCGTTACTAAGTCCCCCCGTGTGGCAAGGCTCGCGGGAGTAAATGTTGGTAGCTCAATGGTGTGACTCTCTAGTGCCGACGGGATCACTTCAGTAACAGCAGCATGTCACTATTTGCTCCTCTGACACTGTCAGTAGTTTGGTGCCCTTTTCTGCTACTGTTGCTGTTTCTGCTGCTGCTGCTACTACTGCTTCTGCTGTTGCTGCTACTACTGCTTCTGCTGCTGCTGCTGCTACTACTACTGCGTCTGCTGCTGTTGCTGCTGATGCTCTTACCTTTCCTTTGATACTACAAGTGCTAGCTCCTATTATCCTAACATGGTATAACTTTTCACCGCTTTACTGCTAATCCTCTGCCTGATATATACCTTCTCCCCCCCCCTCTTCTTCGCTTACTCTGTGCTTGACTCCATTATATTTCTTTGCATCCTCCTTTTTTTCTACCCTGATCACCTTTTCTCAGCCAGCCCTTTGTTACTGATGCATGCTGCTGCTTCTGTTAGTGGTGTGGTTAACGGTGCTGTTTCTACTGGTCTGATCCTTGCTGCTGTTGCTGCTGCTGTTGCTGCTGCTGTTGCTGCTTCTGTTGCACTGCTCTTGATACAATCAACATACCCGAACAACCGCACCCGTCATACTCCTCCAGTCCTTCCCTTCCCGGACCCCTCTCTCAACACTGGTCTATCCTATTCATAACATGTGAGCTGTGTGTGTGTGTCTTCCCACAAGCCTCCGTTGTCCTGTCTTCCTTTATTTTCTTCAGCACTCTCCTTATTTGTCATCTCAATGCGTCTTGACACATACACACACTCACTCTCCTCTTTCTCTACCCCTCTCTCCCCGTCTCTTCCTTTCTCTCTCTCTCTCTCTCTCTCTCTCTCTCTCTCTCTCTTCTCTCTCTCTCTCTCTCTCTCTCTGAGGATCTCTTCCCTCGGACTCTCTCCTCACCCACTTGCTTTTCAGATACTGTCTCGCGACTCTGTGACCGTGTCGGTGGATGCCGTTGTTTACTACCGTGTGTCGGACCCAATTATGGCAGAAACTAACGTAGAGGATTACAGGTACACGGCAACTTAGGCAACGCCACATTCCTTCCATGGCAGCGCCGCTTTTGCATCTCTCGTGGTTGCCATGTAACACTGGTGTGTGATCTATGATGAGAGGGCAATAATGATAACTGAAACTGGTTGATACAACTTTTTTTCACAAACGACTTGCAAAAATCTCTAATTAATATTTAAAGATTTAGTTCAATGTATATTTTTCTTTCTTATTAGTTTTGTTTATTTCGTGTTTTTGTTTTGTTGTTTCTTGCTTTGAGGTACACCATATGGGTCTAATCAATGTACATGCTTATTGTTCTATTTTCCGTTTAAATATACAGATTAATAAATACCAAGTGGCATCAAGGAGTCCAGAACTTGTCAGATTTTAACATAATTATCAAAGATGCTTTCATTCATAGCTTAATTCTCTTGTAAGAGTACTATCCATCACTGCCATGATGCCTCGAATCCGAGACGCAGAGTCATCACGGGGGAGTATGCGCCTCATGTTAGAACTTTGGCTGTTCTTGATTTCCATTGGTGGCGTAAGGTTATGTTGTACTGAAGGCCTGTTCCTCACGTAGTGGCTCTCTCACTGCATGGTGCACTTGATGCTCAAACCCTTGTCGTGTTTTCAGAGGCCCTCGACCCCTTCCCCCATCTCCGTTCCAATGTAAGTTACGTTAACATCTACAGTTTAGGGGTCACTAACTCGGGGCCCGTAGGCCGGATGCTGCACCCGGAAATGTTTTGTGGGGCCTTCTGAATCTTTTAGAAAAAAATAGAAATAATATTACTGCATATTTATTAAATCGATAGGTAAAAGCAGATCTCGTGTTCGTGTTTTCGAGAAAAAAAAATGAAGAGTGTACAAGGCATGTGTGTTGGCAGTAAAATTATTGTGAAAACAGTTATAATACCATGATAAATTTAATAGAGGGATTACATATCTTAATTAAAATGTGGCAAATTACGAAATTAAATGCAGTTTGGCTTAATATCAATAATTATAGTACTATATACATAATAATATTACATCTTGGATGCACACATAAATTGCCAGTCATTGTTCGTTCTATTTCACATGCTCACATGAAGCTGCCACTGTTAGACAGTCACAATAACCACACGACTCGAGTTTCCTGCCCAGCCTTAGACCTTAATGTATGTAAGTGTTAGGTATAGGTATATTAAACTGAAACGACGAAGGGTACAGTTAAGGGAGGCATAGTGAATGCAAAGAGGCACGGTGTAGAGTGGGAGCAACAGTGAAAATAACAATGAAAGTGTTAATGTGACAATAATCCTTTTCAGGCTGCTGTTAAAAAGACGACTACAACAAAACCCTCTTCGTCAGACAAAAAAAAAAAAGTAGGAGACGAATGCTGAGCATTCAGTAAGATGTGCATTAATGATTATCTTATATTTTAAATAACGAAAAAGGCATTTGCCTGATACGCAGCAAATTAAACGGAACAATGAATCACGTAACAAGAAGTACTCATGTTGCAAGGGAAAGTACGAACAAACAAGTTCACTTTTATCTAACGATGCATATCTTAACAGGAAAAGTCTTCAAAGAGCATAATGCTGAAAACGTATCTCCTGTGCAAGCTAGCTATCACGTAACCAAATATATCACCCAAACCAGCAGACCATTCACTAACAGGGAGTTTATGAAGAAGTGCAGGTGGAAAGTAATAGAGGAAATGTACATTGACAAGGTAGTTTGTATTGAAAATGTACGTTTATCTGTTTCTACAACCTCGAGGCATGTTGATGACCTGGAAGAAGAGTTGTATGATACAATGACAAGGCAACACTTTTTATACATTTCTTTTTTCACCAAATGAGAACAACACTAATTTTCAAAATTTTGAAAATACGTTGTGTGCTTTGCAAAGTAAATAAAAGATACTGCTACTATTGCAGAAAATGTTTTCATAATGACGAACGAGTTCGTGAGCAAATTTAACCTGACTTGGTAGAACCTGAGTAGTTTAACAACTGATGGTGTAATGAACATGACTGAGAGTAAAGCTGATGTAGTTACAAGAATTAAAATGGATCGAAAATGAATACTGAATTCCCCATTAAGTTTCATAACAGTATTCACCAGCTGTTTTAGTGCAGTAAGGTTCTCCGTGCCGGAAACGTAATATGTTGTTGTCTCATACGTAAATTTCATTAGACATTATAGCTAAAACTTCGCCAGTAATTGACATGTTATCACAGAGAAAAGAATAGGTTAAGGCCCGTTTTCTTGACTGGAATTAATTTGGGAATGAACTTCTTCAGTGATATAATAGAACATTTATATATTTTAATTCTAAGATTGCAGGGAAAACTGGTATCTGACAGGTATATAGAGTTGAAAGTTTTTGAGTGAAAGATTATTATATTTATAAAGTAGATCAGTTAATGTAGTTTTCACACTTTTCCTGTTGTAACGAACTCTCATCCATAACAGAATGGAATTTACAGTGACTCAGGAAAAATAAAGCAAAGAGCTAAAGCTCTTGCAGAGATTAAAATGATTCATAATCCATTTGAAGTTTCACCAGATGACTCAAAGGGAGATATTTCAGATGGAACTCATTGATTTTCAAATAGTGATATTTTCAGAGGTATTTACAAGGCGAACACTGTTTTAAAATTTATGGAAGCCTACCTGACATTTTTAAATCTGAAGAAGTTTCCTGCAGGTCTATTTTACAGTTTTTGGCAGGACATTAATGAATCAATTTTGTCCAAGATAAAAACTGTTAATTCAAAGCTTTGGTCAATACTTGCTGATAAATATTTTCACAAAAGTTTATGAGTCATGAACAGTAAACATAACGTAATTGTCGTCTTTGCCTTACTGCAGCCTCAGGTATCACTGCAGCCTCAGGTATCACTGCAGCCTCAGGTATCACTGCAGCCTCAGATATCACTGCAGCCTCAGATATCACAGTAAGATTAAACAAAGCAGAATCTTTAAGTGAGCTATGACTATCCTTTTAACTTTAATTCACATGTGATTCAACTTTAATAAAATGTTATATTCAGTCTCACTTTCCTTTATTTGTGAATATATCATATTTTTAAATGTGATTTAGATTTTTTAAATTGAATCTCATTATTATTTCAGTATAATAAAATATCAGTGAAATCTTAAATTGTATTTTACTTATTAGTTAATTAGATAGTGAAAATAATGATCATCTTGGCAATGAAATAATTGATTTCTGAAAGAAATACCCTGAATTTGATTCGTACTCTCAGTTTACGAGGATATTTCTTATTAATGCTATTAGATGTCGGTTATCTTAGTGGCTCACTTGAAGACAATGTTGGGGACCACTGAGTGCATTTACATAGTCTACGCACCACTAGAAACTTAACTTCATCCTTCAGTTTTGTTAAGCAAATCTGAGTACATTACCAATGTGCTGCTAACCTCCTCTTAAATTATAGTACCAATTTGGAAACAAAAGGCAGGTAGCTCACTTACCAAAAAATGGGAAAGGAAGGATGGGTAGTCCTTACCACATGCCATACACGTTTACTACCGGACACGAACACACTGATTCTAGTGTATCTCACATCTCCAACGGTATATAAAACAGTAGGGATTACAACCCATTCACATTTCTTTTATTCTGGCCAAGGAAGAGCCACGTTACATACCTTTCATTCCTGTGATGTATCTTGAAGCCCTCACTGTATCATGTGGGGAAACTTAAGTTCTGTAATAGCTTATTACAGAATTTGGCTTTCGACAAATATATCCGGGTTTAATATTTTCTTTTTCCTTACAAAGTATATTCATGGTGCTTAACACACTGATGTATATGTATTATTATGAGGTAAGGAATAAGTTTCATAGTAAATCCATGAAGTATATTAAAAATTTACTTGCCGCTTCTACACTTGTATTTTATTTTGCTTATATTGTTCATGATCACATGTTTGTATTTTAAACACAAAGGTGAAAAAACAACAACTTTGGCATATAACAATTATTTCAGATAAAACAAACATTAAAAAAATCAAACGTATAAGCTTGCTGCAGCTGCAAGAAGTCAGTTTTTCTTAACAAATGTAACTCATTCATTGAAAACTATTAGATAATGTTTAGAGGACCTTGAAGTAAAAGTTATTTTTTCTAATGCTCAAAGTATAGGAACGTTTGAGAGCTTTCGGCCTCTCCATGTTGAATCAGTCATCAGGAACATGCACAGGAATTAGGAACTTGCACAAAGGCAAAAGAATTCCCATGAAGAGGTAGTATTAGCCAGCATCGTATAATTACATGGTAAGACGCTAGGCAGTATTGTAACTCTGGTTGCCACTGCCACCTGTGGTCTAATAGTTTCGGCTACTCCACCTACTTGACGTAAAATGTTGTATATCTTCTTCAGAATTATATTCCTTGATGTTTTAGGTGGTTATTACTGTCAGGAAACTTTGTATGCTTTTGAGTATAGGAGTATAGAACTACCCAATACAGTGTACATTGTTCTAGAAAGATCATTAATGTGGGTAACCCTTTTCCTATCGGAAAGTGACAAACACACACACACACACACACACACACATATATATATATATATATATATAAATATGTATATATAAATATATATATATATATACATATATATATATATATATATATATATATATATATATATATATATATATATATATATATATATATATATATATTGTCTGATAAATTAGACACATGTGCAACTCTTGGGTATCTTTATTAAGGAAACGTTTCGCCACACAGTGGCTTCATCAGTCCATACAAAGGAGAATCTTGAAGAACAGGAGGAGAATGAGGTAATCAGTCCCTCAACCTTGAGTCGATGTGGTCAGTCCATCAATCTTGAATAGAATACGGCATACGTGCTGAGAAGGAGCTTATAAACCGTTGGCAGGAGAGGTGCAGAAGTCATAGGTCGTGTAACATTTGTTCAATGTGGAAGTAGGTCGTGCCCAAGAATTAGGCAAGCGAAGAATTCCCA